CTGGAGGCGGCGAGGGCGTTGGGTGGAGGAAGGGGGAGAAAGAGGGGACGGAAAGCAGGAGGAAACGGGCGGCACAAGAAAGCTGGTCACGGCCTGTTCGCGAACCAACCCGAAGAACCGAGAGACAGAAAGCCGTTGGGCGGCTGGCGTCGGCCTGGCAGCCCATTAGGCATGGATGCGGCCCGGTGGTAGTGAGGCAACAAAGCTGGCCTTTCAGCCTGGAGCAGCGCAAGAGCTGGCATTTCCTATTTGGCGCTTAGGCCTCCTACAATGCAAGGTGCTTAGGGAAGGTGTTTAGAGAAACAAATCAATGTTTTTTTATGCAACGGTGCTTATCTTTCTATATCTAAATAGTTTGCCTTTGCTAGCCTATTTCTCTTAACATGCAAGTATGCCACCTTATCATTTAACATGTATTAAGAAATGTCGACCCCAACATGCAATCCTGCATAATAAAAAACCACCTTAACATGCAAACATGCATGAAAATTTACATTCTATTATGATGTTTACATTATATATTAATCAAACAGCATAAAACATATTTATTTTAGACTTTAGTTATCATATTATTACTCTAATTATTCATGTTCCACACAACCAATTCAAATTGAATATACTGCCAAACATTCCCGCAACAAACGTGTGGGATATCATCTAGTTTGTAAAGAGTAGACGCTTAATTAAGTGTCGCTCTTGTAAAAATAGGCATTGGTGCTCCAGAAAAACTTGGTTTATTTTTCTAAACACCTCTCTAAGCACCTAACATTGTATAAGGCCTTATGAGACCACTCACGGGCATTTTGGGTAACTGGCGACCACGCACGACCCATCGGTAGGTCAACTATGAGCCACCCAATCACGCCACTCTCATCACCTGTTTTGGGCACCTTCTAGAAGGTTTCCTCGGGGGGATTTTTGGGCTAGTCCTTTGGATTTTATTTCTCTTCAGTTTTTGTCCGGTTTCTAATGGTTTTGTTTTTCTTCTTTTTTCCTTTTTTCATGTTTTTTTTCAGTTTCGCGTGCATTTTTTGAACTTGTGCACATTTTTATAATTTATAAACAAATTTTAACACTTTTTGTCAATTTTGTCAATTTTTTCAAATCCCATGAACATTTGATTAATGCATGAATTTTTTTGAATTAGTGAACTTTTTCAAAATCATGAACTTTTTAAAAAAATGTGGGAATATTTCTATTAAATCCTTGATCTCTTGTTTTGCAAAATAGTTGTGTAAAAGTCAACGATCACCGGTCATTGTCATCGGATAAAGTAGTCAGTGGTCGACAACGTCGACCAACCACTCAACCGCTCGCGTAAGATCCGGTTTGTTGGGCTGGACCACGCATCCGCTCGCATGAGCATCGATTAGGTTACCTGGCGTAGCAAGCGTTGATTAGGAGGTCTTGCGAGAGCTATATATTGCTCGTAGTGATTCCTATTACGCCTCAAGGATTTTTGTATCGCACTGTCATTGAAAAGCAACTAGTTAACGAGCGCTCTTTCGGAAACCTCGCAACGATCAACACCACTTGGCGCGCTCTTAGCCATTCGCCACGTCTCGCGCTCTGGACGCTCCTTTCAGATTTTGTTTTTTATATTTTTCCGCACGCGTTTTCAGCTTTTTAAATAGTTTTTTTTTGGGTTTTTTGACGTTTTGGTTTTTCCCCGGTCTACCTTAGCTTTTCGATAAAAAAAATTAAAAAAAATTGTGCGAAAAAAATGCGTTTTCTTTTTTTCCTTTCGCGAAAGTCACAGTTTTTTCCCACGAAAGTCCAGGCCATGCCTTTCGGAAACGAAAAAAAATGTGTTTTTTGTTTTTTTTCTTTCGCGAGAGTCACGGTTTTGCTTTCGCGAGAGGCACGGTTGTGCTTTCGCAAGAGTCACAGCCGTGCCTCTCGGAAAAGGAAAAACAAAACGCATTTTTTTTTCTTTCGCGAGAGTCATGGTTTTGCTTCCGCGAGAGGCACGGTTGTGCTTTCGCGAGAGTCACGGCCGTGCCTCTCAAAAAGGGAAAAAGATACGCGTTTTCTGTTTTTTTTTCTTTCGCGAGAGTCACGGTTTTGGTTCTACGAGAGGCATGGTTGTGCTTTCGCGAGAGTCACGGCCGTGCCTCTCGGAAACGGAAAAAAATGTGTTTTCTGTTTTTTCCTTCGACGAGAGTCATGGTTTTGGTTTCACGAGAGGCACGGGCGTGATTTCGCGAGAGGCACGGACTGCCTCTTTCGGAAAGGAAAAAAAACGTACTCCTAGTTCGGTTTTTTCACCCGGTTTTTTTCGTGAAAAAAAAAGTTCGTCAAAACCAATCAACATGAGATCTAGTTTTGAAGATATCGACACGAGGAATCCAATGGTGAAAACGGTTCAAGATTTGGACTGTGACGCTCGGATAATTAGACAACAGTAATTTCTTGCTAATGATGCCACGTCACCTCTGTCACTAGAGTTAATCTCCTGTTAGTTCAAAACCGATTCAAATTTAAAATTAAATTAAAGGCAAACAACAAAAGTTTTCAAACTTTAAAACTAAAATGTTCAGGCGGTGCCAAATAATGCATGTGTAATTATGGCCGAGAAACCACACTTTCATAAAATGTTTAAGTAATCTAAAATGGATAAAACAATAGTTAAAACAAATAAATAAACGTCTTTTGAATTTTATAAAATATTAAACTATTTTGTTCAGGGGTAAAACTTTTTGAGACAGTAGTTGAAATGGTAACTCTATTTTAGGTGTGGGTTTTATTTTTGATAAATTATAAAGTATTAAAGGAATAAAAGCAAACAAAAAAGACAAAAGGGAAAACAAAACAAATAAAAAGAAAACCCCTAGGCCAACTGGGCCTCGGCCCAGGCAGTGGCCTGCTAGGCCGGCCCACTCCCTCCCCTGGCCTATAACCCCACCCCCACCCCACTTCTCCACGATCCCCTCT